AAAGATAATAAACCTGAAGGGATCAATTTCAATTTATTATATTACGGGTCGTTGAATGGGGGAAAAATTACAATTTGAAGATCTCCAATAAAAATCACGCAATCAAAATCAAAATCGAAATAAAAAAAATATAAAAAAAAAAAAAAAAAAACCTTTTTTTTGTTTTTTTTTTTCCCCCCCCGTTCGGAAATTATTTTAATAGGAAATTTTTAATAGATTTTTTCCTATTTATTATTATTATTATTATTATTATTATTATTGATCGCTTGATTTTTTTAAAAAATGATTTTTAACGATTTACTCTCAAGAAAAATAGTTTTTTTTATTATTTTCTTACTGTTATTATTAATATTCATATTGAAATTTATTCAGCCTTTACAAATTTAGTTTTAAATTAGGGCACCAAAGCCCTCCCTCTTCCCCCGCCCCCCCAAATAAAAAAAAGTGGAATTTTCAATGAATTTTAAAATCCGGTAAAAAAAAGAAAAAACCGTTAAAATGTTATTTTCTGAGACCTCTTCCGGTTGTTAAAAAAACTAAAATTTTCCTAAAAAACGTTATTTTTCCCCCCTATTTCGTTTACTAAAAATTCCAATAGATGTCGCGAATTTAAAAAAATTATTTTCCATAATTTGAGAAAAAGGGAGAGAGGGAAAAAAGAAAATATAATTAATGATAATGTTAAAAATATTTTCTTTTTAAACCCATTTCTTAATAAATTATTAAAATTTAAATTTTTTTAAACAATGTTGATAATAATAATAAATTTATTTTATTTAAAAAAAAAAAAAGGTAATTATCATTAGTGATGAGCGTTCAGAAAGAAAAATAGTTTTTTTTTTTTTTATCAGTTGATAATAATCCCGAGTTTTTCGAACGAGGAAAAATCGAAATTGGATTTTTCAACGTCATTGCACCTAAATGGTTTTTCCGATGAAGAAAAACAAAAAAAAAAAAAAAAAACATCGCAAAATTTAAAAAAATTTTTTTTAAAATCAATGAATACCTCTTTCTTTCTCTCTCAATTTCTTCCCGACGATCTCAAATTTTTCGAATCGTATAATAAAGTTAAAAATCGCAATAAATAAGGTAAAAAAAAAAAAATCAATTATCATTATTATTATTATTACTATGAAGAAATGATAAATGTTTTTCCCCCCTTCCTTCCCTCTCCCATTTATCGACACACACACACACACATACACACATACACTGATAATGATTATCCGGATGGGTGTGGTCTCGTGATTATTTTCGAAAACAGTAATAAAAAAAAGGAAAAAAAAATTTTTTTTTAAAAAAAAAACATGTCTTCTATTATTTAGCAGACGAAAAAAAAAAAAAAAAAAAAAAGAAAAGAAAAAAAAAATGAAAAATTTTTCCCGAGCGAAAAACTTACTGGTTTTAATTCCGTGACGTCCCAACCTAAATATTCTGCCACGTTCATCATTTGATTGACGATACAATCCATTTCCTTTAAGAAAAAAAAAAACAAAATAATAATAATAATAATAATAAGGGCGATAATAATAATAATAATAGTCGTGCGGATTTTTTTTATTATTATTATTACGTTTGTATCGAGGACTCCGTTTCCATCCGTGTCGTAGAGTCGAAACATGACTAAAAACAAAAAGAAAAAAATTATTATTATTATCATTATCATTATTATTATTATTATTATTAAAAATAACGACTCACATTCTAATTTATCTTCCGGTCGTCCACCTTCCAAAAGTGATAAATAACAAGCGATATCCTTGAGTGATACCCTTAACGTGTTTATATCAACTGGAGGCTCTTGAATTATTTTACCATCTGGAATGATAAGAGAGAAAAAGAAAAAAAAGAAAAATTTTCCCAATGAAAATTTCATTACGTCATGATGATTGTGACGAAAGCAATGACGTCAGACAGAGGTTAAATAAATGTAATTTTTTTCCCTCTTGTTATTGTTATTAATAATAATAATAATAATTCTGGAGATTTAATTTTTTTTATTTTTGTTATTAAGAAAAGCAGACCGGATGGCGTTTGGGGAATGAAAGTGGGGAAAAAAATGGCGGGAAATTTAAAATTTAAAAAAAAAAAAAAAAAACATTAAATAAAATAAATAAATCGATGAATATTAGAAAATTTATTTATTTATTTATCGATTTTTTTTTTTTAATTTTAAGTTATTTATAATAAATAAGTTGGATTTACAAATGGAGGGTGGGAAGGGGAGAGGAAGGGGTGGGGGAAGTTTTTTTTCGAATTTGTTTAAAACATAAAATAAAGATTGCGTAAATTTCTATTTAAAACAATTTTCTTTTTTTTTTTTTAATAACAAATAAAAAAAGTTTTTATTTAGGAAAACGTAAAAACGGAGTAAGTGGGGAGATGGGGGAGGGGTAAAGGGGTTAGGGGGTGGGAAAGCAGAAGAGTTTCTATTTACGTAAAATTTTTACCCTTTTTCTACATTTAAAAATAAATGATATATATGTATATATATAAATATTCGTTTGTAAAATTTTATTTTCCCGGAATAAAAAAAAAGGGAATAAGACAAACAAACAAACAAACAAAATTTTTTTTAAATAACATCCCGAAGGAAATTAGTTACGGGGAAAAAAAAAATAATAATAATGATAATAAAATAAAATAAGTGCGGGATGAATGAAAAAGGAAAAAAAATGTGATGATGATTCAACACAACAAAAAAAACGAAATAATTCAAATAACCTACACAAAAATAAAAAGGAGAAAAACGGTGGGAGATGAAGAGAGAGTAAGAAAGAAAAAGAAGAAAAGAGAAAGAGAGAGAAAGAGAGAAAAAGAAAAAAATAAAAAATAAAAAAAATGAAAAAACAAAAAGGCTGCGAAAATTTTTCGTTGAAAACCATCCACCCCCTCGAGATATAAAAGTAATAATAATAATAATAATGTAAACGTTGGTATTTATTAAAATGATGATAGGGATGATGATAAAGTGTTGCCAACAATCGTAGAAAAAAAAGAAAAATTTATTTATTTTGATATTTAATCGATTTTGAATTTTTTTTTCTTTTTTTTATCGTTGATTCGATTATGTCTGAACATTTTTAACCTTTTAGTTTTGACATTTAAAAAATGAAATAAAAATTTTTCTTTTTTTTTTTTGTAATTTGAATTAAAAAAACATTAAAAAAAAAAAAAGAAAAATTATATAGTAATCGTGAGGAAATTAAAACAACCAAAATTCCGAACTTTAACATTTTCCAGAAGGTTAAACTACTGGAATTGAAAATACGAGAAATGGAAAATTCCTCCTCTTCCTCCTCCTCCTCTTTCTCCTCTCAATGGAAAGAGAGAAATTTTTTTTTAATGACACGATCAATTTTTTAAAGTCTTCTTACTGTTTTAACTTCAATAATATTTTTTAGAGCGTATAATACAATTTTTTATTTCAATCCTGACGTTGTCAAAGATAGTAAAATAAAAAAAAAGGAAAAAAAGGAAAAAAGGAAGGAAATAAAAGGAAGGAAAAAAAAGGAAAACCCGCCCAGGGAAAACAAAATGTGTTGGTGAAATTTTGTTGCAGATTTTTTTTTTTAGTGGTACAGCAGCATCATCATCCGACTTTTTCTTTTTTCTTATTTTCCCTCAAAGAGATTAAGTGCTTTGTATTCTTTTTATTATTATCATCATTATTATTATCATTATCATTCCTTTTAAAAGAAATGATTGCGGCATTAAAGACTCTTAGATGGAATATAAAAATGGCATTTTAATTTCTTCTTTCTTTTTTTTTCATTTCTTCCTTTTTCTCTTTCTCTTTCTCTCTCTCTCTCTCTCTTTTCTTCCTCTTTTTCATTTAGGTAGATTTTTTATTTCTTACCTTCTCTTTTGTCATTGTTCACAACCAATGCGGAATTACTTGATTTTTTCGAAGAATTTCTCGATATCGGACTGTGACTCGGACTCGAATCCGTTGATTTTTTTTCCAATACTTCGTGGCAGGAATACGAATTATGCGTTACCGTTAACATTGGATGAACGGCAGCTCCGACGCTTCCTGAAAAAAAAAGAAAAGAATGTCATGACGATGACAACGAAGACGCTTTCGTTCATCATTAGTATCATCGTAATAAATATATATATATATATATATATATATATATATATATATATATATATATATTAATTTAAATATACGTGTGACGTACGTGTAAAATCGTCAAACATCTGCGTTTGGCAAAAAAAGAAAACAACGTGACGAGAATGAAAAAAAAAACAACCGAACGTCTTTCAAAGAATTCCCCCCCTTTCCTCTTCCTCCTCCCCTCCCCGCCCCCTCCTTGAAAAACAACAACAAGAAAAAAAAATTTTTTTTTTTTCGAAACGTACCTGTTCTCGTTCTTCCTTCGATTTCGCTTTTATGATAACCCAGAGATTGTAATTTTTCAGTAAAACCGCTGAAAAGGCTTCCCAAAGGCCTGTGAAATTCCAAATCTCTACCGAAATCGACGACGCAGGTTGCTACGTTCGGGACGGAACCTGGAGCTCCAACAGCTCCTTTTGTTGTTGTTGTATATGGTGTTATTGCGGCACAAGCGGTTGTCGAACTTAAAACTGCCATTTCCTATTTATCATATAAATTGTGAAAAATTAAAAGAAACAAAAAAAAATGAAAATGGCGGAAAATTTTTTAAATTTAAATACGAGTTAACTTATTAATATGGCGGAGTCGTCTTACCGACCGCATCCTTTATAATTTATTTATTTATTTTTTCCCATTTGATAAATTGCAAGGATATTTTTTTAACTTCTCCCCTCCCTCCCTTCCGGTCCCCCTTTTTTCTCGAAATTTGTTTCCTTCAATTTTTTTTTTTTTTTTGTAAACCGAACGTTTGATAAATTGATTTTTTTTTTTTTTTTAAATTATTTATTATTGTTTCCGTCGGTTGTTGTTGTTGATGCTGTTGCTGTCGATTGTTGTTGTCGTTTGTTGATTAATTACGTTAAATTATTTAAATTTAAATAAAATTATTACCAATTCAAATTTTTCTTTTTTTTCTCGTATTTTTTTTTTTTTTAATTTAAAAAACGCGCGAAATAATTTTTTCCATTTTTCAAATTTTATTTTATTAAAAAAAAAATGCACGCGCACACACGCACACACATGCAAGATTACAAATCTGATTAAATATTATCACCTTTTGTAAATAATAATAATAATAATGATAATAATGATAATAAACGATAACGATAATGATATAAAAAGGAACATTTTTGAGAAAACAAAAGACGACTAATGAGATTAAGTTAACGGGGGTAGGGAGAAGGGGAAAAAAAAAAGAGAGAAAAATGATTTATTTAATTTTTCTGTTTCTGTCGCTACTGTTCCTGTTGTTCCCGTGTCGTTATTATCATTATCATCATCATTAAATTTAAAAAGAAACGAAAAAGAAATAAAAAAAAATTTTTTTTATTTTTTTCCTTAAGTACGAATAAATAAATTTAAATTTAAATTTTGCGAATGAGAAAATATATATAAATAAGTAATAATAATAATAATAATTCCACGGGATTTGAATTCAAAGTAAAATAAATTTTAATTAAAAATTATTATTATTATTATTTTACTTTCTTTTTTTTTTTATTCGGATTAAAAACGGATTAAATTGGGATTAATTTGAATTTAATTTAAATAAATTCGAGTGAATTCAAGATCATCATTCATTTCGATGGAGATTTATTTTATTTATTTATTTATTTTTTTAATCGATGGTAATAAAAAATAACGTATCGTATTATTTAAACGGTGACGGTTAAAGGTGTGACATAATCGTTTCCAACGTTTTTTTTTTTTTTTTTAAATTTAAAGTCAAAGGAAAAAAAAAAAAAAATTTGACGAATGATTTAAATGTATACGGTACGCATATGTATATATTTTTATGAGTAATAATAATAATAATTTTTTTTTTTTTGTAATAAATCACTTTGAACGAAAGTAATTTTAAACTTCCGAACGGTTATGATGATGATAATAATAATAAATACTCGTTCGCGAGTAAAATATTACTCCCCCCCCAAAAGAAAAAAATAGAAAAAAAATTTTTTTTTTTTAAGTTAAAAGAAAAGGTTTTTTTTTTTTTTTTTTAAAGATTAACCGAAAATAAGTTTCACCTTTTTACCCTTTTTCAATTTTTTTTTTTCTTTTACCTTTTTCTTTCCTTTTAAAGCCTTTTTTCATTCCTTTACCTTTTTTTACGGTTTTTTTTTCTTTTTCTTTTATGTTTTTTCTTTTTTTTTTGTCTCCCCGAAAATGAAAACTTTTACGATTCGCACATTAAAATTATAATTTGATTTATTACAACATCTTAATCAGGAATTTCTTTTTAAATTTAATATTATTATTATTATTATTATTATTACTATTATTATTATTATTATTATTTTGTCAAGCCTTTCTTCCTTCCTTCCTTCCTTCCTTTTTTACTTTTTTCCTTTCGCTTTTTCTTTAATTAATTAAAAGTTTGCGAAATGAGGCTGAGAAATTTTTTAAATTCAAAAACCGAAACTCGTAAACCGAAAACCGTTAAAAAAATTATTATTATTATTATTATTATTATTATTATTATTATTATTATTATTATTATTATTATTATTATTATTACCTTCATAGCTTTGGAATCGTATCCGGTTTTTTTACGTACAAACGAAAGGAAAAGATGTTGAACGAGATCTTCCGGCGTGTTCACATCCAAATACGTGTTCATGAAAACTCTAAAACCTTCCAAATCGATTTCCTGTTTTCAAAAAAAAAAAAAAAAACAAATAAATAAATAAATTATTAAAATTATGTAAATAAAAACATCATCAATATCTACCGTAATAATCATCATTATTTGCATTCACGCAATAAAGTAACGACTATTATAAAATTTTTCCATTTCCGGTTTAATAAATAAAATAAAATAAAGAAATTTTACAATTCTTTTTTTTTTTGTTTTTCAATGAGATGTCTTATGTTTATCGTGTTGTTGTTGTTTCCGGTTATAAAATAATCGAAAGATTTGCGATTATTATTATTATTTAAATAATCGTTTCCGGAAAAAAAAAATTATTGATTTATTCCCGAGCCGCCATTTTTTCTTTTTCGATTATATTCTCAAGCGAAATTAAAATTTGATGCCCCTCCTCCTTCCCTTTATCTCTCTCTCTTTTTCATTTATTTTTCATTAAATAACTTTTTTATTATCATTATCATTAGGTTTACGCGAATGGATAAGACAAGAGAAAAGAAAAAGAAGATAATTTACGACCCAGAAAGAGAGGGGGGAAGGAAATTCAAAAAATATGTGTTATTCGACGCCCAACAGGTTTCCATAATGCAAACAAAAAAACGAGAGAGAGAGAAAGAGTGGAAAATTATGGCCTTAATCATATTTTTTTTGAACAAATTAAAATTTTAGTGATTTAGTGATGTAATAATAATAATAATAATAATTATAATAATGATGATGATAATAAAACAGAAAATGCGTTCCAAAATGAAACGTATAAAAAAATAAAAAATAAGTTAAATAAATCCTACTGGAGACGTTCCAGAAAATTTATAAATATTTAATTTGAATATTATTATATTTACTACGGTTGAAAATAATGATAATAATGATGACGATAATAATAATGATAATATGTTTTAAATGAATTTGACTGCCTGAGGCTGGCGTGGTTTTATAACACACACACACGCACAAACACACACACACACACGTCAATTAAAAATAATTAAATGAAAAAAAAAAATTAAAAAATCGTGAATGGATTGTTTGTTGTTGTCGTTGTTGTTGTTGTTTGTTATTGCCTTATTTTCGAAAGACTAATTAATTTTTAAAATTTTTTTTCATATCAATAAACTATAAATAATAATAATTTATTTTATCGTTTTTAAAAATAATCTTATTATTATTATTATTATTATTATTCTATTTGTACGTAAAAAAACAAAAACAAACAAAGACTCGTGGGCAACAAACATAAAAAAACTTTTAGTGACGTCACTCGAATTTTTTTTCTAAAATTTTAATTTAAATAAATGTCGTTGATAAGAACAATCAAAAGAGTCATCGAGCGTTTTTCCATTCGGAAATTTTTTACTTCAGCATTCTCGCAACAAACGACGATTTGTCGCGATAGTCGTTTGTTGCAACAAACGAATACGTTGTAAGAAAAGATATATTTTTTTTTAGAAATTTAATTTTCTACGTGTTTAGCTTATGCGAAATGCAAAAAAAGTGTATTTTATGTAATAAATAAATTTTATTTTCGGTTTTAACGACACGATCCTTTTATTTTTAAACCGATATTTATTTTTTATTTTTTGCCCTTTCATCTTCCCCCTCCACCCCCTATCCCCCCAATTCCCTCCACGATTTCCAAACGGTTTAACCTTAAAAAAATCAAACCGCAAAAGTTATTTTATTTTTTAAAAAGTTAATTCAATTTTACTTTGTTGTTTGTAATCTAACGGACGATTCTCCGGTTTCACGATTCACTTCATTGATTTTCTCATCGAGTCCTCCTCTTTTTTTTTTTTTTTTTTTTAATAAAAAAAAAAGTAAAAGGAAAGAGGAAGGTGAGGAGGGGAGAAGGAAGAGGTTTATTTAAAAAAGGACGAAAATAATTTTTTTTTTTTACATCTTTTTTGAAAAATATCCAAAAAAAAAAAAAAAATTTATAAATTTTATTATTAAAACGGTTATTTTTATATCCGCTATCCATTTTGTCCAGTTTCATCCGCAGGGAGGGGTAAGAGAGAAGGGGGAATGGAGAAGGGGGAAGGGAGAAACAGGGAGTTCAAAAGAGGGGGGGTTTGAACGAAACGTAATGGAAAATCAAAATCAAAAGAACGAAAATTTGTTACGTGAAAAAAAAAAAAAAAAGCTGAGCTGGAAAAATGAACTGGAGTGGCGGAAACTGGATAACAGAAAATATTAAAAAAAAATCTTGAAAGATTCCATAAAAAACGTGATTGGAAAAAAAGTAAAAAAAAAAAAAAAACGAAAAAAAGTTTTTTCTTCTGCTTCTTTTATTCGAATCGTTATTTTATATTTGTAGTGGTTTTAAAATTTTCCGACGTGGAATAAGAATAAATCGTGGAAAAGAAAAATTTTTTTTTTTTTTCTTTTGATAAAGACATAATAATTAAGTATTTAACAAATATCATCACGTATTATTTAATAATAATAATAATAATAATAATAATAATAATAATCTTTCGAATTTTTTCCTTTTTTTTTATATATCGACCGTTCCTTCCACGCATAAAAATATGGCCGAAGGGGTTAAAGTTCATCGTAACAACAACAACAACAAAAAAAAAAAGAATTTATGGGTTTACGTGTGTGTATCTGGTTCGGACGTTGTCAAAAAAAAAAAATTTCACATTCCATTTATTTTTACAACCTCTCCTCGTAAATAAACTCAAAAAAAAGAAAAAAACGTGTAAACAAATAAAGTGGAAGTAGAAAGAAAAAAGAAAGAAAAAAGAAAAATCAAAAATAACGAATCAGCCTTTTTGTTGTTTTCTAAAAAAAAAAAATTTAGTTTCGGAATTTAAATTAACCTTTTAAGGTACATGTAAAGTTAATAATTAGTCAATACAACCTTTTCTATGATAAGAGATAAATTTTGTTATCACTCTTCTTATCATTCATCGTTTTAAACTTGATTGTTGTTATACTTGCCGTATTAATTTTCAAAAAATTAAAATTTTCCGCCTTTTTTTTGTAATAAAAATCCCCCGTTATTAAATTAACAAACATGTTTTCATTACTTTCTTTTCCGCTTTTCCCTTCATCCCCCTCCTCTCTCTCTCTCTCTCTCTCTCCTTCCTTCTCACTTTCCCTCACATTTTCCTGAACAAAACCGAAATCATTCGAAAAAAAAAAAAAAACACGTAAAAATGAAAAAAAGGAAAACAAGAAAATGGAGTTTCGATTCGAATTACCATTTTTATAACGTGAGAATTAATAGCTTAATAATAATAATAATAATAATAATAATAATAATAAAGCCAACGGCCATAGCGTGCTGGTCACACCGGTTCCCGTACGATCACCGAAGTTAAGCAGCATCGGGCGTGGTGCAAACTTGGATGGGTGACCGTTTGAGAACGCCACGTGCTGTTGGCTTAAAAAGAGCAAAAAAATGAGAACAAGACAAAGTAAGAACCAAAAACAAAATCTTGTTCTACTGTCGACCTGAGGCAGCTCGACGAGAACGTGAATTTCACTGCTTCTGACCCTGGCCACTCCAAAGATGTTAGTCACTGGAGCCCAGTTCAGGAGACAAATCGTTCCCATCGAAAAAGACGGACTCAGGAAGACCTTCAAGAATTGATGTGGTGCTATCTTATAATAAGTGGCACCACCGAAATTCGAGTATTTGTCCCTAAGGAATCGGGTAGAAACCTCGGATAAATACTTAAAAAAACTCCGACAAGTAGCCTTGTCGTGTTTAATGGTGGATAATAATAATAATAATAATAATAATAATAATAATAATAATAAAAGGGAAAAAAACGAACGAAAAGAAACGTAAAAAAAAAGAAAAATTCATAATCATTAAAATTCGTGATACGAAATTTTTTTTTTGGTTTTTTTTTTTTTTTGTTTTTCAAACGTTGGTAGAATATTTTGTCGTTACTAAAAAAAAAGAAAATTTTCAAACGTGAATTTTCCGATTTGGATTTTAAAAAAAAAAAAAAAATCTGACGCTTAAAAAATAAAAGAAATATATTAATTTAATGTAACGTAATTAATTAATTAATTAATCCGACCCATTTAATGGGAGGAGAATATTTTATATATCAGGTAACGACGCGACGATCCGACCAATCAAAAAAATTTATTCGTTTTTTCATATTTAGCTTATGGGTTATAATTTTTTCTCTCTCTCTCGGGTCGTTTAAACGTTTGTCATATTGTCGCGTACGTAAAAAAAAATGCAAAAGTTGGAATTTTTTTTTTTGTGAATGATGATGATGATGATGATAATGATACTTGAAAATGAATGACTGAAAAGAATTCGGAATTGGCGCCAAGTCGAGACGTCGGTAAATTATTTTTTACGAAGGAAAAATTCAAAATAATTTTTTCATTTTTTTTTTTTCCTGTCGAATTTTTCGTACCTTTTTTTTTTTTTTGTATGACGTCGACGAGTTTGAATAATTTTCGTTTTGATATATATTGTCGTGGCCCGATTCGATTATCGATTCACAACGTTGATCTTCCTCCGCGTTCGTGGTATTATTCAAGATTGAAATCGAACACACTTTTAACGAAAGAAGAATTATATTGATTGTAAGCAACAGAAGAACATTTTACAACATGTTACATGTACAGAACAAATTAGTCACTAAAATAATGTTATGAACACTACTAGTTGTAAACACAATCACAAAACTAGACCTAGACACAAGTTGAACTCTAAGATATCAGGAGAAACCGATGAACTAAGAGTCGAACACCAAGAACGAAGAGTTGTGCAACAAGAACCAAGTCCTGAGAAACAAGAACCGATGGCTGAGACGTTCAGCCTCCTTTTATAAGTTCTGACTATCGCTAGACATTATTCATTCACTAGCACTTAAGATTAGATAAGAAAAGCGAAGCTTCCAGAAATGCTGACTATGTGTCTATGATATGAATAGAGTCACTATCTCCAGACATGCTGACTTTGCGTCTACCATGTGAATGGAATCACTATCTCC